CGTGGCACGGATAAGGCCGTGCCAGATAAGGCTGCAGCAGCTCAGGGCTGCACCTGATAAGGCTGGAGCACAGCCCCGGGGAGGAGGCACCCCGAGGATCCCCAGATCCAGAGGGGAAAGCCCACAGAGACTGCACTACAAAGAGCTGAGAAAGGGCTGGGCAGGGAACTGCTGGGAGCTGGAGCCATCAGACGGGGTGGAGGTGAGCCAGGAACAGAGCAGGATTTTAGGGAAGGGTTTGTCTCTTCAGGTGCTGCTGGATGCAGGGGTGGGGGAGAAACAAAGGCAGTTTGCCAGTGTGATGCTGAAGTGCAGAGCTTCACCTCAAAGACAGAGAACACAGAAGGGTGAGCAGGAGAGGGGATGGAAGAGGGAAGTCCCAAGCCTACACCAAGGGAGGCAACAAAAGGATCCCTGATCTTAAAAGCTTGAGAAGTAGCAGTTCAAAAGGACATTCACCAAGACCACTGCCCCTGGCAGGTGCTCATGCAAAGAGCACATTTTCTTTTTAAAAGGATTTCTTTTAAAAACTCAAAAGATTTCAGCAACAAGCCGAGAGTTTCCCTGTATGAAGAGTTCAGTCATCACTGCCAATAAAACAACATCCACCCCCAACACGTGTGATGAGCTCCAGTTAAGAGTCAAACATTTCTCAAGCACACGGGGGGGGGGGGTGTTGGTTCAGAAAGCTCCCAGCAGAGGAGGAAGTAGATAACAAAATACTGCAACTCCTTTCCAGGAAACTCCTTGTTTACAGAGTTCCCCAAGAAACAGCAACACCCTCCCCGAGACCTCCTTGCAGCACAGGTTTGCCAGAACTGTCACAGCCTTACTGCCACTGCAAAGATTTTACCTGCTAATAAAACTGCCTACAGCTTTATGCGAGCTAATAAAGTAATAAAATACTTTTATCATGTCATTTTCTGCTTCGAGCAGGAGATGACACCCAAGCCCTTCTATTCCAGGCACTAACAAAGACTCAGCAATTCCTACTGGACTTGCAGCAGGCTTCTTGCAGAACCTGCTGTCTGAGCCCTCAGCACCGGATTCTGCAGAGCAGCACAGGCTCGTTTTCAGCACAGAATGACACACATTTTCTCAGGCTAAGGCAGGGGGGGTTCCCACATCGTGCACAGGCAGCCCAGGGAGGGCAGGGCCCCCGGGGCAGACTCACCCTCCTGCTGCACCGCGTTGGCCACAGCCTTCTTCACCCGTCCAGACTTCACCACAGCCGGGTCCGAGTTGGCATAATCTGCCACTGTCACTGCAGAGGGTGGGACACACGGGTCAGGGGGATTAGGGATTACAGGGGAGGGCACAGAAGGGCTAAGAGTCACCACGCCTGAAGGGGACGGTCCCCAGAGCAGCAGAGAGATGCACAGGCAAGAAAACAAGTCCCAGCAGTTGCAGGCCAGGGGTCCCCAGCAAGTCTCTACCCCAGGCTCAGGGGACCCACCCCCTGCCCAGACCAGTCCAGGCCCCCCTCTTCCACCACCTCAACCCACACCAAACCCCAGAACCCCACTAAAACCCAGCCTAACCAGAGCCTGGCTCATCCCCCAGTCCCAGACGACTCCTTCACAGGCAGAGTCCTCATTCCCGCATACCAGGCCAGATTCCCACCGGACACACTCCCTCCACAAATCCAATCTCTCCTTTCCCACTGGACACACTCCCTCCCCAAGACCGAGGGGGCCGGGCTAATCGCTCGGATGACACTGGCCCGACCTCCTGCCCCTCAAACCCCTCAGCCAGGCCAAGCCCAGGCCCTTCAACCACCTCCTCCCTCAGGCCTTAACGCAGGCCCAGGCTCAGGCCCAAGGCCCAGGCCCAGGCTCAGGCTCAGGTAATAATACGCCCAGCCAGCTCAGCCCAGGCTCAGGCTCAGGCCCAGGCCCAGGCCCGGCGCTCCTCTCCGGACAGCACAAGGCCGCTTCCCCCGCTGGGCCGGGCCGGCTCGGTCTCCCCTCAGTGCCTCAGCCCCCGATCCCCTCACAATTCACGACGTGGCTTTAGCGGACTGCCGCTCCAGGCCCGGCCCCGTGCCCCCCGGCCCGGCGCCGTCTCCCCTTCACCTCTCTCGGAGGCACCACGTCGTCGGCGGCGAACTTGAGGCCTTTCCGGGCGGGCCCTGCGGGCAGTGCGCGGCGCGGCGGCGTAGCGGGCGGGGCGGCGGGGCGGCCGCGCGGGGCGATGTCCGGCCGGCCCCGCGGGGGAAACAGCGGGGACACGGAGCGCGCCGCCCGCGCCCGCCGCTCACCTTGCCGCGACATACCGCGCGCGGGGATGACGTCACCGCGGGGGGCAGAGACACGGCCCCCCAGTGATCCCAGTAAAGGGGGGGATTGGGGGGGAGCCCCCGGTGAGGAGGAGCGGTGGAGTAACTGCGCCCTCACAGCGCTGAAGGCCCCTGAGGGGTCCCCTCCTTCCCAGTCCTCCCAGTAATGGAGGCCTCTGAGGGGACCCCCCTCCCAGTGCTCCCAGTGATCCCTGAGGGGATCCCCCCCAGTAAGGAGGATCCCTGAGAGGTTGTCCCCCCTCCCAGTAACGGGTGTCCCCGCCAGTAAGGAGGAGCTGTGAAGTGACTGTGCCCTCCCAGTACTGAAGGTCCCTGAGGGGATTCTCCCCCTCCCAGTCTTCCCAGTCAGGAGGACCCCTGAGGGAATCCCCCCAGTACTGAGGGTCTGGGAGGGAACTGCCCTCTCCCAGTAACGAGAGTCCCTGAGGGAATCCCTCCCTCCCAGAACAGTCTTCCCCGGTAACAGGGACCCCTGAGGGGATCCTCCCCAGTAAGGAGGAGCTGTGAGGTAACTGTACCCTCCCAGTACTGCAGGTCCCTGAGGGGATCCCTCCCTCCCAGTCCTCCCAGTAAATAGGATCTGTGAAGTAACTGCCCCCTTCCCAGTAAGGGGGGCCCTGAGGGGATCCCATCTCCCAGTCCTCCCAGTACTGCAGGTCCCTGAGGGGATTCTCCCCTTCCCAGTAACAAGGGTGTATGAGGGGATTCTGCCCTCCAGTCCTCCCAGTAATGAGAATCTCTGAGGTACTCACACCACCCTCCCAGTCCTCCCAGTAAGAGGGGCTCTGAGGCAATTGCCCTTCCCAGTAACGACTCTCTTGCACCCACAGCCGCCCCTGAGGGCTGTGTGATCCCCCTCCCCAGCTCTGGCCGTGCCCTCTGCCACCACCCTGGGTGCCCTGGCTCACCCACCCCCCCAGGAGGAGGATTTGGGTGCCCAACCTTCCCCAAAAGCCAGGGCCAAAATCCAGTGGCCAGGAGGGGACTGATCCCACGTCCTCCACATTGTCCTGCCTGTGCCCTGCTCATCCAGGGATCTGGGCACCACCCAGAGAAGGTTGGGAGTGCTGCCCAGTCCTGGGGGTGTCTGAACTGGGAGGGTGGTGGGGTCCTGCTCTCTGTTTTTGGGATTTACACAAGGGCACAAGAGCACGGCCTTGTCCTGCTTGTCCCTGTGTGAGCAGGGACAGCAGCCAGGGAATGGCTGGGGCTGTGTCAGGGCAGGCTCAGGTTTGGATCTCAGGCAAAGCGGTTCTTCCGCCAGCAGCTGGTTGGGCAGCTGCCAGGCTCCCAGGGCAGTGGGCACAAGCCAAGGCTGTCCAGAGCTCCAGGAGGGTTTGGCTGATCCTCTGGGGCACAGGGTGGGACTCTGGGGCTGGGCCTGTGCAGGGCTGAGAGTTGGACTGGATGGTCCTTGTGGGTCCCTTCCAGCTCAGCACATCCTGGGATTTTCTGTGAGTCTGGGATTCTGTGGTTCTGTGAACACCCCACTGCGCTCTGTTTCCCACCTGTGCTCCTTCCCTACGAGACCTCAGGAGAGGATTTGGACCACAGGGCTGTGGCATCAGCTCTTGTGCCTCCCTGGAGCGAGGTAACACATGGAATATAGAGAAATCCACATTTCTTCCGCTTCCCAGGCACTGCCAGGAGCTGATGGTGTCTATAACCTCCCTTCCTGACCACATTTCTTTCTCACAGCATTTATTAAATACACAAAGAGCATTTTATCAGTGAGGAACACATTTGACTGAGAAAACTTCTGATCATCCCAGGCAGGAAAGGCCATTCATTGGCAGAAATGCTGCTCCTAATCCATCTGTTCTTAAAGCTCTGGATAAAAATTAAGGGGAATGGCAGTGAATAAACCAGATCCTGGTGGTGGTGGCTGCACCCACCTCTTTGGTACCCAAAAACGTTCTCCTTGGACTATTGCTGCTCTCCGTCCTTATTTGAGAGCTGTATCACAGGATTAGTTTTAAAAAGTAAGGGTTCTCCTGGCTTGGAAAACTCTGTGGAAAACAGATGAAGTTTTATGGGGATATGACAAGAGCAAGGTGAAGGCAGTTGTTCCTGAGTGTGGACGGATCCAGCAGGAGCCAAGGTTGGTGTCCAGCCTCACACCCCCTGAACTCAGGAGAGGGACACATCCTGTCCCCCCACAGCTCACAGGGGGAGGAGGGGGCCGTGGCAGAGTTGGGGGCTTCACTGCCTGGCCCCATCCCTGCTCCCCACCTTCGGGGTCTCCACAGCTGAGGGGGAACGGGGCACCCAGGGCTGGGGACACCCCCCAGCCCAGGTCCTGCCTCCCTCCCCCTGGGGCTGGACAAGCCCCTTGGGGGAATCCCGTTCCCATGGGGGCTCCTAATCCCCAGGGAGGTTCCTGCCCCTAGGGGAGTTCTCTGCCCATCCCAGGGGGATTCCTGCCCTCTCCCCAAGGGGGGAACCTTCCCCCCACCCCGAGAGTTTCCTGCTTCCACGGTGCGATTCCTGCACACCCCCCTCAGAGTGTTCTGTACCCTCAGGATTCCTTCCCTACCCAGGGGGAAACTTGCCCCCCAGGGAAGTTCCCCCTGAGGGCATTCCTGCTCCTCTTTAGAGTTTTCTGTCCCCCCTCAGGAGGTTCCTTCCCTATCCAGGGTACATCCTGCCTCCTCGGGAGGGTTCCTGCCCCCCAGGAAAGTTACCTCGGGGGGGATTCCTGCCCCCCCCCGAGTTCTCTGTACCCCGAGCAGGATTCCTTCCCTTTCCGCGGGGGATCCTGCCCTCAAAGGAGGTTCCTGCCCCCTAGGAAAGTGCCTCCTGGGGAGATTCCTGCCCACCCTTAGACTTTTCTGCCCCCCCCGAGGGGATTCCCTCCCTTCCCAGGGTGTCTCCTGCCTCCCCAGGGGGGTTCCTTCCCCCCAAGGAGGTTCCCTCCCCGAGTGGCCGCATGACCTCAAACCCTGCCCGCCCTCCCTGCACCCCCAGCCCCGACACCTACCTGGGGGGCGGTCCAGGTGAGGGGCGTATCTGCAATGGGCGTGCCCGGCGGAGGGCGTGGCCCGGTTGGCGTCGTCCGCTGACGCAGTGGCCGGGGCAGGGCGGGGCGGCGGCGGCGGCGGCGGCGGCCGGCTTCGCAGGCGACTTGGCGGGCGGTGATTTGGCGGCGGGTCGGCCCCCGCCCGCGGGGGATGCTCGCCCCGGCGGGGCCGCCTGAGGGTGCTGGGCCACTCCACTGGGGGGGCGGAGAGCTGCATCCCACCATCGGGGCCCGACCCGAGATCGAATCTCACCTCTCGGGATGCCCTGCGTCTGCCCTCCGAGGGGTTGATCTAGATCCTTCACCGTGGGCACTCTAGTCCGAGGGTTACCTATGAGCCCCGCTGGGGAGCCGTCCCCACTCCGAGAGGATGCCTCCCTCCACAAAGGGATCTCTGCTCCCACCGCGGTGGGCTGGAATTAGGGTCTTACCCCTTATGCCCTCCCCGCTGGGGACGCCTGCCCCTCCGGGGATGCTGCGCCCCCGGCAGGACTGAGCCAGGGGGGCTTTATCCTTATGGCCTCCCCCTGGGGGATGTTCTGCTCCCCGCCCAAATGATGGCTCTGGGCTCACCCCCGCTGGTGCTGGCTGGGGTCTCTGCCTCTGAGCCTCCCCCCGGGGATCTGCTGCTCCCCCATTGAAAGAGGAGGTGTTGGAGCACACCCTCAGCCCTGCCTGGCCCCCCCGGGAGGGGCTGGATCCCTCCGAGGGGGCTTCGTGTCCCCCCCGGGGTGGCTGACTCGGGGTGTTCTGAGCTCCCCTGTTTCCCTCGGGTTGGATGTGAGCTGAGGATTCTCATCGTCCCCCTGAGCTGGGTTTGGGGGGACCTGCTCTGCCCTGGCATTACCCCCAGGCTGGGCACCAGAGCCGAGGGGACAGTGACCCCCCCGAGCCAGGCAGGGGGGGTGAAGAGTGGACATTCACCCGAGACTGCATGACTGGGGGGGGGGGGGACCAGTGGATTCCTGTAATTGAGGAGGGGGCTCCTTGATTCAGAGCTGCTCTCTGCCCCTGGCAGACCCCGCCACACACTCCCAAGCTGTCCCTTTGCACCCCCCCTCCTTCCCAGCTGCCACCTTACACTGAGGGGAGGGCAGGGATGGGGGTGGGCCTGCTCCTACCCTGGCCTTCTCCCGCTCCTCTGATATATCCCAGTATCCCCCTCCCCTCAGTGCTGTTCCAGCCCTCCAGCTCCGGGCTGTGTCAACCCACTGAGCATCTGCCTGGCACTGAGCTCTGGGCTGGGATGCTGCCACACAGATGCTTGTGGAGCTGGGCACCGGGTAAATGCTTGCCAGGCTGGTCTGGCGTGGACATTGGCCACTGTGCCCGGGGCTGGACCAGCTCGGGGAGCATCCAGCCAGCCCGGGCAGCTCCAGCTGTGCCCACATCCTCTGTCAGCTGGGGCCGGCTCATCACAGCCATGGCAAGCTGCCTCCAGACACCACGCTTTCCTCCTGAATAACCAGCCTTTAAGGGCTTGTTTATCCCCTAAATTGCATCATTATAACGGCAATTGGCTTAGGGAGCCGGGTTTTGTTAGAGCTGTGCAAACCCTTCTGGGGACGCCCTGGTTTTGACCGAGTAGGGGTTGGCAAAGTGTTCCTTTTAAGCTCATTTGCCACCATCTGCTGGATGCTGGGATGGGCTTCTCCTGGTGGGTTTGATACCACCAAGCCACTCTGTGAGTGGGAGCTGGTCCAGAGGTGAGGTGGGAGCTGGAGTTTGGGGCCTGGATGTGCCCGTGTGCTTTGGGAGTCTCTCGGTTGTGGTGCTGCCAGGGCTTCAGAGGAGGTG